GTATGGTCTTGCTTTGCTGAAAGAAAACTATATTATACATAGAAATACTGATGACTTTTTATTTTAGTTTCTTAAAAAACATGCTGGCAGAGGTGGGACTGGAGCAATAGTACAGAGGGTAGGGTGCTTGCCTTGCATGTGACCAACCTGAGTTTGAGCCCCCACCCCCTTGGTCCTCTGAGTCATGCTAGGAGTTATCCCTGAGCACAGAGCCAGAAGTCAGCCCTGAGCACCACCAGATGTGGTCCAAAAACAAACAAAAAATGCTCGAGCAAGTCCTTCACTCTCCTCTACTTTCTTTTCTTGGTAACAGGGATCAAACCCAGGGGCCTATTCATACAGGCCAAGCATGAACTCAACTATTGATATATATTCAGATTCCTTTTACCTTCTTAATTCTGATATAATCATATGCATTATCTCATGTTTATATTGTAAGATATTTTTACCGAAACCAGGACTAAATTGTGTACAGTATTAATTTATAGAAAAACAGTCTGTGGATCCATGGTAACATCCAGGTTTCTGAAATTTTTTAATTTATTTTAATGCACATAATTCCAATTCGAACACCACAACCATTACCAATGTACCCACTGAGATTTCTATAAGTATTAATGCATTTAATGAATTTTAATAAAATTTCCTTTTTGTTTTTTACTTGAGCTGCATCCTAGACTATTTTAAAGACTATTCTTTTGGGGGGGAAACACATTTAGTGGTGTTTGGGGGCCATTTAGTGACTCAGCTTGTTAAATTATCTCTCCAATCTCTTTTAACTTCATTGTTAAATGTTTACTGGTTGCTTCTAATGTTAAATTTAAATAAATAATTTCTTTACCACTCCTTGTGATCCCTTTGGAATTGTAAGTGATAGTTTTAGAGAAGTGAACACATACTGGAGATTACATAATCAAACAGAAACTCAGGGTTGATGATATAGGTAAATATTTTAATAAATAATTAACCATTATCTGCATTTCTAGAATTAACAAGATTCATTAAAATCAAAATTTGAGATTATATAAGGATAAATCATTGTATCTGTTAATGCCTCTACATATATACCAATACATATACAGTGCATTAATAACTTACAAAGTACTTTCTTGTTTCTTGTTTTGCTTACTGTTGTGTGGAGTCACACTCCTAGCAGTACTAGGGTGGGGGCAGCTATCAGAACCACATAGAAAGTTGTTTTTGGGACATGCATTGCTGAAGCACCCAGGTATCACACATATAAGCATGGTCATCTTGTCACTTGAATCACATCCCCACTCCTTTCATATTTCTCTTTGAAGTGTCATTCAAGGGAATAACTTAGCTTGTCCTATGTATTACTTTCCTCCTCAATTTATACAAGCTAAGCAAGTCAGCTGAATAGAGTAGGAAAAACTGCCAGGAGCTCTTGCATGAGAACTACCTCAAGGCATGTTAGTCAATTAAAGCCAAACTTATTTAGCTGAAGAGATAAACAGGAATTAAGGCACATGCCTTGCATACGTCTGACCTTGGTTCCATCCCGTTCATCTCCAGCACCCCACAGTCTCTGGAAGACCACCCCACGAACACCACTGTAAGTTCAGGCCCCAATGGCCAAGAATCACAGAGTGGAGCTTCTTATCCTCTTGAGCACTGTGTAGGAACCCCCTCCCATAAAATAAATGTAGAATTATCTTTGAAGGTTATTTTTTGTTTGTTTTTGTGTCACACCAGATGATGCTCAGCTCTTACTCCTAGATCTGAACTCAGGAACTATTTCTAGTAGTGCTTGGGGGATTGAACCTGAGTTGGGCACGTGAAAGGCAAGTGCCTTACCTGCTGTACTTTCTCCAGCCCATATCCTTGGAAATTATTTTGGAGGGAGGTTCCAATTCTGAGTATGCTGCATTGTATATGCCCATAAATTGGTCTCCTAGCTTGGGTCAGTGGACTCATTTTTCAGTTCAATCATTTGAGGGGGGAAAATTTCAGAAAAACAAATGGAAAGGACTATTTTGTTAAAAATTTTTTAATACATTCAGGTTTAAGTAGCACTGGAATGTTATCCATCTAGATGAGAAATATTAAAGCTCAAGGAGCAACCATTCTTCATTTATTTGTAAGAGATAAGGTTCAGCTTTGATCCAAAAGGGATTCCAGCACATCAGTGAGGCTTCATATCTGGAAGAATCTAGCACATAGGGTCCATAGAAGGAGCAGAATTGTGAAGCAGCAACTGTGCCCAACAGACATGACAGTATCCGGGGGAAAGTAGCAGGACAGGAACAGAATGTACCTCTCACCTGGAATCTCACAGGTGAGATTCATGTGAACTATCAACTGGCGCAGAGACTTTTGACAAGATCCAACTACATTCATAAAAAAAACCTTCAAACGTAGGAATAGAAGAAATATACCTCAAATAAAAGAATATACCTCAAGATAGTAATGGCCATCTACAACAAACCCACAGAAAATATTATACTTCATGGTGAAAAACTGAAAGCCTTTCCCCTAAGAGCAGGCACAAAACAAGGATATTCACTGTCACCTCTCTTACTCAGCATAGATTTGTAGAACTCCTCACTGCAGCAAGCAGATAAATCAAAGATACCAAAGGGATCCAGATTGGAAAAAAACAATTCAAACTTCGGTACTATATATTGAAAACCCTCAAGAATCAATAAAAACTTCTTATAAATAATAAAACAATATGGTAAGATAACATGTTACAAAATTAATGCATAAAAATCCTTGTATTCCTGCACACAAATAATAAAAGAAATTAAGAAGACAATATATTTCAAAACAATGCCCCCAAACATAAAATACCTGAAAAATCAACTGAACAAGGGAAGTGAAAGAGTTACATAGTGAAAATCACAAATTTCTGCTAAGAGAAATAGAAGAGGATGCCAGAAAATGGAAAGAGATTCCCTATTCATGGATTGGAAGAATAAACATTGTCAAAATAACTTTCCTATCCAAAGTACTATATAGATTCAATGAAATACCCATTAAAATTCCAATGAATTTTTCAAAGAAATAGAGTATACTAATAAAATTTGTATGAAAAATGAAAGTCCCCAGATAGCCAAAGCAATTCCTAAGGGTAAAAAGAAGATAGTGAGTATCACATTTCCCATCTTCAAACAAATTTTATTAATCTATAGTAAGTTTGCATGTGTCTGGAATAAAGATAGACCTGCAAACCAGTGGATCAGAATTGAGAGTCCTAAATTAAACCTCTAGATTTATGGACTATTAATCTACAACAGAAAGATAAATATAAGAATTGGGGCAAAGAATTCTCTTCAACAAATGGTGCTGGGAATATTAGATAGCCGCATATTGAAAAACTGAAATTTGAAGCATATCTCATACCATTCACAAAAGCATAAACTCAAAGTGGATTAAAGACCTCAAGATTACATCAGAATCCATGAAATACATTGAAGACAACATTGACAGAATTCCTCAGAAAACTGATCACAGAGGCAAAGACAACAAAAACAAATGAACTCCATAAAATCAAAGGCCTCTGAAAAGCAAAACTCAAGCTATAACAAAGACACCATACTGAATGGGAGGAAAAAAAGTGTATAAGTATTTATATGTTTTTTAAAGAACTGTTTCTTTATTTTTGTCTTTTTTAGTCACACCCGGTGATGCTCAGGGGTGACTCCTGGCTGTGCAATCAGAAATTCCTCCTGGTGGTGTTGGGAGACCATATAGGATGTCAGAGATCAAACGTGGGTTGGCCGTGTGCAAGGCAAATGCCCTACCTGCTGTCCTATCTGTCAGAAGAAGGGCTGAGGGACAGAGAGAGAGAGAGAGAGAGAGAGAAGAAAAGTGCCTGCCACAGGGGCAGGGGTGGGGGAGGGAGGGCAACTGGGAACATTGGTGTTGGGAAATGTACACTGGTGAAGGGACTGGTGTTGGAACATTATATGACTGAAACCCAATCATGAACAACTTTGTAACTGTGTATATCAATGTGATTCAATTTAAAAAATTAAAAGAAAAAGGCTTGATATTCAAGATCTATAAAGCACTCACAAATCTCAACAACAAAAAATCCAATCACAGGATCAAAAAATGGGGCGAGGAGATGAACACTTTTCCAAAGAAGACATGAATGGCCAATAGGCATATGAAGACGTGTTTATTGTCACTCATGATTAGGGTAGTACAAATAAAAATATCAGTGAGGTATCATCTCACACCTGTGAGAATGGCACTATCAAAAAAAGTCTAGAATTAGGGAATGAAGAGATAGTACAGCATGTAGGATGTTTGTCTTGCACGGGGCAACAACAAATCCAACCACAACATCAGAATATGGGGCGAGGAAATGAACACTCATAGGGTGCTTGGCCTTGCACAAGGCTGACCAAAGTTGATTCCTGGCACCCCATATTGTCCTCTGATCAGCTCCAGGAGTGATCCCTGAGTACAGAGCCAGGAGTAAGCCTTGAGCACAGCTCGTGTGCTCCCCCCAAGGGAAAATAATTAAGATAATTAAGATACACAGCAAGGTAGCAAACAAAAGGGCCAAAGATAAAACAAAGGGAAAAATGATCAACTCAGTTTGGGGTGGGGGGGGAGGAAAGGAGGAGCACTTGGGATCCCTGTGGGAGAGAGGTGGGTACATTGTGTGGTGTTGAAATTATGTACACAGGAAACCATCATTAAGAGTATTATAAGTTACAGAAACTCAATAAAATATTTTAAAAGGTGTGACCTTTGGGATCTATCCCATGCATTTGTTAGGAGTATATAGGAGTTGAGGTTTCGTGTGCTACATGTGCAGCTGAGGGGAAGCATCCGTGTCATGTGATCTTAACTTCATTTGGCTGCATAGCATCCCTTTAAGTCAAGTATCATTCCTATTTGAACAGGGAAAATGACCCTTTAATAATAGCTGCCTTATATTTCTACCTACAAGAGTCAGGATAAGCACAGGATTTAGTTCTCTATTTTTATGTTCTTGCAGGTATTTATTAAGTGCTATTTCCTTTATATGCCAATTGATATTTTTTGTTTTACACTTTTCCATTACATTTTTTTTACAACACAAGTAGAATGTGTTTGTCTTGGAAAACTGAGAAAATCTTACAAAGCAGAAATAAAAATAAAACAAAACTCATTTTATCAGTTAACCACTGTCTTTGAAGTATATGCTTTCAGTGTTTTCTCTGCATACTTATATACATTATTTTACAAAAATGACATACTACATATACGTTTTGAAAATTGTCTCTTTCCACGTCACAATACATATTGTACATCTTTTCCATGCAAATGTGGTTTCAAGGAGACTTGTGAATGAATGGCCGTGGTGCGTTTTTATGCTAGTTACAAGCAAAACACCCAAAATACAGCCAAGCAGAAAACATTAAACGGAAGAAACTGGGGTCGGGAAGGGGATGATTTACGGAAAACACAAATCAAGTTCAAGTGATAATGATAACACTGCTCTCGGACAAATCAGAAGACAAGGAGCCTCTGACACGTTAAATAGGGTATGGCCGATTCCTTCTTGCCTTCCAGTGCATTATCATCAGTTTGTTTCGCACCCTCTTCATCTCCTCCATCTCCTCCGCCACCTTTATCATCTCCTCGTTGCTTAAATTTCGACCATGAATGTCCCCGGAAAATTGTGGGCGAGAGCGGGCCAAGCGTTCCTTAAAACTTCCCTCCTCGAGCTTGTGCTTGCCCACCCCGCAGGGAGGTTGCTCCATGGGAGGGTGCGCCTCAAACAGGTCCTTTCTGGAAAGGCGCTCCAGCGGACGGCGCTCCTCGGCGCTCAGCATCTCTGGGAGGAGCTCCGGAAGGAGTTCTTCGGGAAAGAAGTCTTCCTCCTCGTCCTCCTCCTCTTCATCCTCCTCTTCCTCATCCTCGTCCTCATCCTCCTCCTCCTCCTCCTCGGACGGCTCCTCCTCGGAGGGCTCCTCGGCGAGCTCCCCCGTGGGCTCCCGGCCAGGCTTCCCGGCTGGCTCCAGGATCGGTTCCCCAGCGGGCTCCCGGGCGGGCTCCCGGACCGGCTCCTGGGCGGGCTCTGAGGCGGGTTCCGGGACGGGCATCCCGGCGGGCTCCCCGACGGGCTCCCCCGCGGGCTCCTTTACTGGAGAGCTGGGTGCGAGAGGCTGACCGACTTCCTCTGTCTGGGCCGTGCTTAGGGGCTGTCCGTTTTCTACGCTGGCTTTTTCCATCCTGACAGCGCGCTCCTTCCAGATCGGTTCTTCAGAGGGAACAAGAAAGGCAGAGTGGAGTCACAATATTTGGTGGCTGGACCCGGGGGCCCGGCTCTCGGTCCCCAGAGAGGTCTCTTCTTCACCGGGGAACCGGGCCCTCCACCCGACGTAGGCCCCGGGCTCTCCGGCCCCAGGCACCCCACCGCATCTCGCCTGAGACAACCCCCCTCACACTTCCACCCTGCTCCCCTCCTTCCCCCAAGCCCACCGTTTTCCCAGCAGGCCTTGCCACAGGCTTCTCGGCCGGCCGGCCGGGGTGGGGCAGCGGGCCGCACACTCGGTACCCCTCAGCGCCCTCCCGGCCCCCCTCTCCCACCCACTGGCCACCCTTTCTCCACGCTGGACCTCTCCTGGTGGGCTGCCCCCACCCGTCCTCGCCTCGAGGTGCCCCCCTGGCCAGCAGACCTGCAAACAGACGCGGTGACAGGGTAGGGGGCGGGGAGCGCGGAGGAGGTATGGGCTGACTGTCACCCCGGCCGCCACCCCCGCGGCAGGCCTCTTTGGCTTCCCCTCCCCCTCTCTGTGCTTCAGCCGCTCAGCGCTGGGACCCCTGCGACCGGCGCCCCCGCTCCCCCGCCCGATAAAACCGAAGGATCACTTCGGAGTGGTCTCCAAGAGGCCCGTCTCCCGTCTGGGGTGGGGAGGATGAAGGACCCGCCCCTCTCTCCCACCCCCCAAGACCACCATTTTCTGCAACGAACTGTGGCCGCGAGGGGCGAGGCTGGGAGGAGGGAAAGGCCTTAGACTCATTCCACTGTGGGTACCCGAGCAAGGCAGCAGCGACAACTCACGCTGATTTCAAAGGACCCGGGGAACTTACTTCTGCTGGCCCCCTCGACCGAAGGGCAATAGGGAGACGGTGTTTGGACAGGCAAGAGGACCAGGACGAGAGGGACTTGGGCAGACAGGCTCCTGGTCACGTGGGGGCCGCGTCACGGCGAGCTCAGATCCCCAGTTAGCACTTTGACCCGCGGCCGTGCTGCGGCAAATTGCGGTTTTTTTTTCTGATTCCAAAACAACAGACATCTTTGTTTGGGAATCTAGTTTTGCCTCTAGTCTTGGGGCTTACTGCTTCCCCCTCTCGGCCGCTTCTTTCTCCCTCCCGCTTTCTTGCTTCCTCAGCCCTTAAGTCCCATTCTTTCGTCCAGAGAACAGCTTCTGCACTTAATGACTCTACCATCTGCCACCTCTCCTGACCTGAATCTCCATCCAGAATTCCACCACATTTATCAGGCTCTGTGATTATGTTTTTCAGGTCTTGTCACTTTCACGGTAGATAAGCTTTCCTTTTTTATGACTTCAGACTCACACCCTCCCCCACACACCTGTATTACAAAGCCTCTAATTAGTCAGATTTTTAGACCCCCCCCCAGAAGAGTTACATTTGTAAAGGGTGTAAACCTGAAGAAACTAAGTACTCATATTTTTTTTATGTAGGAGTATTGCTATTTATTCAGCCATTGATTAGGCTGATTGAATTGGGCATGAACTCCACAGTATTCGTATTTTCACAAATCAAAATACATCTGTCCATTTAAGTACAAGTAGTCTGAAACTTTTATGAAACAGGAGAGTTCTTGTTGGAATCTTGTTGAATTATGTAATTTTCATATTTTAAAATACGTATACAAATTTTCTGTTTCTTACATGGACAATTTGATTGTCTGCCTGTGTATCAGTTACTATATAACACAAAATAGACATCGCTTATGTTTTCAATACTATTACTACAGTTTTTATTCATAATAGAGATTTTTCTGGGACTTTAAACCACCCTTCTCTTGGCACTGCCAGTTGACAAAGTTTATATTAATTTGTTAAAACTAAATATTTGGGTTGTGGCATGACTGGGCCCCCCAAAATAGAAATATCATGGAGGATATTCTGTATTGAATTATGCAACAATTCTGTTGCTCACACACTGAGAATGAGATTAAAATCATGCTGATATACTCAGTTGTCATTACAGGCATTTAGTTTTGATCTGATAGTTTTTTTTCACTGTAAACCTCATGCCTGAGTCTCACAGCTTCCTCGATCCTATTTTCTCATGCAGATCTCTTCCTTCCATTAAGCAGAATGTATTTTACTACTGTAAAATACTCTACTGTATTTTACACTCTCAGGGTAGGTGGCCACTAGATCTGTGATGATCCTTGATATTGTTTCTTCAAATCCAAGTTGTCTAATGATACTGTCAGTATCTGGTGACCTGAGAACATGAAGCCGATTCCAATGCAGTCAATGACTGATGATCGATGGACACGGACTACAGGCTGATGGCACAGTAGCAATTTTATTCAGGATGAACAGTGATTATAGAGGGGTGAACGGAATGCAATACATGCAGGACAAGGGCAGGAGGTAAGTGGGAGATGAAAGAAAGGTTAGATTAATGGTGACATGGGGAAGATTAGTATAAACAGAAATAAAATTATTTGTCTAGATTCAATCTCAATTATTGGAGGCTGGAGCGATAGCACAGCGGTAGGGCATTCGCCTTACAAGCGGCCAACATGGCCGACCCGAGTTCAATTCCTCTGCCCCTCTCGGAGAGCCCGGCAAGCTACCGAGAGTATTCGATATGCCAAACACAGTAACAACAAAGTCTCCAATGGAGACGTTACTGGGCCCGCTCGAGCAAATCGACGATCAACAGGAGGGCCTTTACATTTACCTTAATCTCAATTACCAATCAGTTATTTGTCTAGATTCCATAGGTGTCAACATTCCACATTCCAAAACTGGGCATCAGTAATTGCTAATCATTAATCTATCTGGGAAACATCAGCTCTCCTGTCACCCCCTTTTGGGGTCCTGGGAGCGTTGTCACTGTTCAGCCAGTCCAGTCGGTTTTGGAGCTTTGTTAGCAGGAACTCCAACAGAATAGTAAGTTTCAAAGCAAAAATTCATACAGGAAATTTACCATTGTAAGAGAGCTGGAGCCATAGCGCAGTGTATAAGGAGTTTGCCTTGCACGCAGCCAACCAGGGTTCAATTCCTCCACCCATCTTGGAGAGCCTGGCAAGCTGCCAAGCATATCTTGCCTGCACAGCAAAGCCTGACAAGCTCCCCTTGATGTATTCGATATGCCAAAAATAGTAACAGCAAGTCTCACAATTTGTTGTGAGATGTTACTGGTGCCTGCTCGAGCAAAATCGATGAACAACGGGAAGACGGTGCTACAGTGCTACCATTGTAAAATCAGTTCTCTTCAACATCTAATTTATTTATATTGCAGTAGAAATTATACATATCAGTTCACCTTTATATCTTTTCCATAACTGTTTTTACTTTTCAGTTTTTCAGTTTTGTGTATCTTTTAAGCCAAGTTTCACTATACCTTCATTCTTTTTTGCCACACCTGGTATTGCTCAGGGGCTACTTCCAACTTGGTGTGTGAGACCATGTCATGCCAGGGATTGAACACAGATCTCTCACATGCAAAACATGCACATTGGTCCTTTGAGCTCTCTCTCCAGTCCCAGTATCTTTGTTCATTTCATCAAAATTTGGCTTCGTCATTTATGATTTCTTTCCAAGAGAAGCCCCACTTTACTCGCAGGCTATCCTTTTTCCTGCTTACATCCTGTGAGAGAGAACTTACTGACTTAAAAGAAAGCCCAGCAACGTTTCAGCTAATTCAGTGTCCTTTTTTTTTTGTTCAACTGAAATCTGCCTCTTAGTTCTTCACACACATTGGTTCTGTTTTTACCCTCTGTGTGGTATAAAACAAATTTAAAATAGCAAAAGTACTTTGATAGTCTGAAACTACAGCAGTTAATGTTCTGGTTTTTCCCTATTCCCATCTGTGAGACACACTTGACAATCAGTTTCACCTTTCTTTTACTCATCTTCCTTGTCTTCAAAACCAGACACATAATCATACCTACCTCAGTATTTGTTAACAGGAATAAGTGGTTTAGTCTATTTAAAAGGACATGAAATAATGCCTAGCACATAAAAAACACTATCAGCAAGCACATAAAAACGCTATCACCAAGCACATAAAAAATACTTTCAACATTAACTGTAATAGTAGTAATAAAAATAACATTGTAATGATACTGTGACATAGTGCTAATAATACTAGTAATTATTATTCTTTTATTATCAACAGTGAGTGTGAATGCCAGAATTTGTGCCAAGCAGTTTCAATATGCTATCACACTGAAATTTTGTCTTATAATGAAATTATGTTCTCTTTTTAAGGTAATTAACCTCCCTCATTGTGCCAGCTCTTTATATGATGTGATAACTTTTTTCAAAGTCACTATCCTTTGTGGTCCTGAACTTGTAAATATCTCTGAAAGTAGTCGCTATTCTGCCTAATGTAGAATGGAGTGATCTACTTACACTCTTCATTCTGTAACAGTAACTACACATATCATAAAATCATAGGCTTTGTGAATGACGTACCACAGAGTTGAATTTATTTTATATTCCAGTCAACTGAGACTCCTGAAGCTGTTTGTGCATGTCTTATTAATGCACTTCTATTAATCATTTTGAATTTAAAAATATTTTTAGAAGGAGAGGAGCAGACAGAATGATCTCTCTCATATGCAGAATAATTTTAGTTTTAACCAACAATAGAAACTTCTGATTTTTTTTTTTGCGTTTATTGTCTTCTTACATTCTCTTCCTTGTTCTTAGAATCTTGATTCTGTTCAGTCTGCTAGCTACAGAGTATTATTTTAAATTCTGCAGTTTGTATTAAGTACGATAATAGGAATAGCAAAATCAACAAAGTTCTCTCCTGGGAAGGTTCTCTCTTCCCAAAAGAGAGACTCTTGACTCCAAATAAAGAAAACTCCTTTCTAGGGCCAGAGAGATAGTTCAGGAGTTAAGTTGTTTGGTTTGTACCCAGAAGATCCTGGTTAGATCCCCAACACCACATGTGGTCCCCTGAGCACAGAGCCAAGAGTAAGTTTTGAGTACTGCCAAATGTACCTCTCTCCAAAACACATCCA